AGCGGCAGGATAAGCCGTGGCGGCGGCGGCGGCGGCAGCGGCTCTCCTCCAGCTTGATCCTGTACGACCGTACGACTGGACGACACTAATTGCGTGCCTGGCGGCCCTCCGTGGCCTTCTTGCGGGTCCGCTGTTGCACGGGGAGAGATCTCTCCGGATGGCTGCTGACGTCCCCTGTCCGGGATTTCAGACTCCTGCGGCGGCGGTGGCGGCGGCGGCGGGTGGTTGTGCGGCGCGTCGTACGAGACCCACAAGATAAACCCCCCGGCATTGGCGTCGCCGCCACCGCTCTCGCCGCCGCCGCCGCCGCTGCCGCCAAGGCCGCTGCCGCCGCTGGGTCGCCACTCCGCTCTGAGCCGCGCTGGGCAGTACAACATAGAGCACCGGAAGTACGAACGGCACATGCCATCGATCCATTTTTCGCCGTACTTGCGCCACCTGCAGTACAACAGGCAGGTCGTACGGAAGTATGTCAGAACGCATCATCATCATCATCATCATGTTCATGCTCATGACGCAGATCGGGTCGGGTGCACATGCAGTGTGAATGAGTGGATGCCCACACAACATAACGAAACGAAACATGCAAAACAGGTACAGTATTGTATTGTCAGGAGTATAGTACGAGTCGAGTACAAGCCTAGTACGAGTTGAGTAAGAGATCGAGCGCGAGCTGAACTAGTACGATTTGATTCACGTGGCACACGTAGGGCCACCAGGCAAAAGCATCATAAGCGGTTGACGTCATGCAGGAGCAGGAGGTCCCCATGCGACCAAGCAAGGCGGGATAGGGGGACGAGGAGGAGGAGGAGGACGAGGAGGACGAGGAGGAGGAGGAGGAGGAGGAGGGCAGGGCGGCAGCAGGAGGAGGAGGACGATGAGGAGGAGGACGAGGGGGAGGAGGAGGAGGAGGAGGAGGAGGGCAGGGCGGCAGCAGGAGGAGGAGGACGAGGAGGAGGCGGCGGGGCCAGCGAGAAGAGGAAGAGGGGGAGGACGAGGAGGAGGAGGAGGAGGGCAGGGCGGCGGCGGGGCCAGCGAGAAGAGGAAGAGAGGGGGGGGAGGAGGGCAGCAGAGGCACCTTTTCGTCGCCGAAGCTACAACATAACCTATAGCTCACACCGCCCCCACCAGAACCCCACCTCAAGGACTTCCCCCCTCGCCTCCACCACCAAGCACCCGCCTTCACTGTTTGTGTGGGCTTCCCCTTCCCCTCCCCCTTCCCCTTCCCCTTCCCCTTCCCCTTCCCCTTCCCCTCCCCCTTCCCCTTCCCCGCCCCACCTGTACTCATTCGGGAGGTCACGGCCAAGCACGGAGAAACGAGCCCTCGACGCCGGCGGAGGCGGAGGCTGTACGGCGCGGTGGAGGCTGCACGCCGGCGGTAGGGGTTGTACGAGCGTCGGCGATGACGAGGGGAGCTGTACGGCCGGTATATG